TTATCTGACTGTAGCAGAGTGCAGATGAAGATGTGTGTGTTGAAGTTGTGGAAATGTTTGCTTGACTCCAGTTGGAATAAGGACGGGACACTTCACCGCTGTGGCAATCGTAGGGATATCACTGGTATGTAAATTGTTTTATGTAAAACGGGAAGAGTGTTTTATCGCTGTGTTCAGTATGATATGCTAATTAGCATGTGGTTTTGTCGTCTTATTCGAAGTAGCGATGTTCATACTTTGCGTTATGTAAGCTAGCCATGTGGAGTAATTTGTACAGAGTGTAAACACTGTATTTCATTTAAATTTAAGTTAAACCTGCAACATAAATGTGGAATTAGAGAGCCCACAATGTTGGTAGCAACAATAATGCTCATTGTATTTTGTTTCTCATTTTCCTTTTGTAAAGTTATCAACCTGTTTGCTTCTGCTGAAGAAAGTTGAATAAAAGAGACAAAAGTAGAAGAAATTGAGTTATTCCTGCAACCCCTGTGATTAGCTTATGCCTTTTTCAAGTTTGGGCAGCGTTTGAAGTAAAAAATCCCAGAAAACACAGACAGCCTGCCGGATGACCTCAACACCTTCTACACCCGCTTTGAGACCTCCAGCCACAGCACAGAGAGGAAGCCCACACACACCACCCAACCCCCCCACCTCCCCTCCACTAACTGTCTCACCAGGCCCGGTACGTACAGTCCTGAGGAAGGTCAACCCCCGCAAAGCGGCAGGACCGGACAACATCCCTGGGAGGGTTCTCAGGGCATATGCTAGCAAGCTGGCTGATGTTCTCACCACCATCTTCAATCTCACAAGCCACACTGGGTCTGCACCCCACCCTCTGTGACTGGCTCCTGGACTTTCTGACTGGCAGGCGCCAGACTGTCAGGATTGGCAATAGGACTTCAGCCAGCATTGTTACAAACACTGGCACCCCACAGGGATGTGTCCCCAGACCCATCCTCTACACCAGGGGTTCCCAATACGTCGATCGCAATCAACCGGTCGATCGCAATCAACCGGTCGATCGCAAAGGTAGTGTTGGTAGATCGCGTGCCATTCAAAAATAAATTAGATGTATCCAGCGTAAAACACGTGCCAAATGTTAACATGCGATTTGCTGTGACGACCCCTAATGGGAAAAGCAGAAAGTGACAATCATTCATATATAGCCTATCAACCATCCTCCCTATGGCATTTGCTACTTGATTGACATGCAAGGCAGCCAGTCTGAGATCTTGTCTTTTCTGACACCGGAGTCACCAAGCATGCACAGTCAACCGCACGAGCTACTGCAAAACACCAGTGAGCAAACTACCTTGTCAGCCTTCGAATTAATTTGTACTAAAGGGTATAAAATGAGTGGGGGAGCTGACTCAAGTAAGAAACTGAAAACGTACCGAAAACGTACCGAAAACATTCCATGTGTAATGGGAGGAGGACTTTTCTTCGTGATGTTATATTCAAAGTGTGTTTGCTTGATCTACCATCACTATTCCGAAGAAGGGAAATGTGGAGCGGCACTTTCAGACCATTCATAAAAACTATGACACTCATTCATACATATATTTTGTGTGTGCATGTGTGCGCAGGCGCGCGTAGTATTTTTAGTGTAGGTCGATATTTTGACTTTGAAAAGTAGCTCGCAAGGCGAAAAAGTGTGGGTACCTCTGCTCTACACCCTGTTCACCCACGACTGTGTCGCCTCCCACAAAGACAACATCATCCTAAAGTTCACGGACGACACCGCAGTGATAGGTCGCATCACTGGCGGAGACAAAGCAGCCTACAGGAGGGAGGTGGCTGGTCTGGTGTCATAGTGCAAGGACAATAATCTCAGCCTCAACACAGACAAGACAAAGGAGATGATAGTGGACATGGGGAAGGTAAAGGAGATCTCATCGGCCACTGTTCATACAGGGGGCTCAAAGTGGAGAGGGTGAGCAGCTTCAAGTACCTGAGCGTCCACATCAGTGAGGACCTCACTTGGACACTTAACACCACATAGCTGGTCAAGAAGGCCCGATGGCGGCTGTACTTCCTGAGGAGGTTGAGGAGGTTTGGCATGTCGCCTAGGATCCTTTACAACTTCTACAGCTGCATCATTGAGAGCATCTCATGAGGCAGTTTGTCAGTCATGTAAAACAATCAGGTTACTGCTAATAAACCCACACAAAGCTCAAATTACTCCCAAATTAAAATTCTATTAACTCAATGCAGTGGTAGAATCAGGACCAAGTGAGGTTGTCGATGTTACCAAAAATAGTTTACAGTATATCATAAGCAGCAATGTGTGCTAAGTTTTTATTGTTGTAAGGCAACCCAGCAATCCTGCACAACCCACCAGTTGGTCAGGAATGCAAAGGCTAATGTTAGCTAGTATTACTAGTTCAGTTCAGCTTGCTAACATTAGAATCCTGAAGTTTTGTTACATAGCTTGGTGACTTGTTTCTACAGGTAATACAGTTGTAATTTATTTGGATTTTCAAGTAGCGTTACATGACTTTTGTTCATACAGCACCTACAACCAGTGCTGCAGTGCTTGTAGACCCATATAACACAAGCACATGAAAAGGGAATTACCAAAACACATTTGAACTCAGAAGCACCAGACGGATTTAAAATTTGCAGAAACATGTAGCAAATGACATTATGGAATATGGTCCTGAATCTGGACAATAATACCAACTGTCCAATTTAACTTCACTGCACAAGCCATTCCACGTGGAGCAGAGAAGCAGAAGGCATTGTTTACAGCACATCCATTACTTCTTTGTTGTTGTTTGTTTTCAATAGCTTACAAATGAATCACCCTGAAAATTCCATTCTATTCTATGTACTGTATATCTCACAGTTTTAGCATACACCTCTAATGTTTTCATTATAATGTCTGCAAAAGGAAGCATCTTGCAGTAACACAAACATGAATTTGTTGGTGAAGACAAAAGCTTTGTAGGAGAGCAGGTTTGACATACTGTCTGTTCTGTCCTCTAACGAGTCATTTACTGCAGACCATTTCTCTTGTGACAAAGTTGGTAGAGCAGAAACACGTGGGCTGCATCTCCCCGATGCTTTCTCCAATTACGATCACTTGCTTAGCGGGTAGACATGTCCTCATAATACCTGTGTGTAGTGCACTGTGCTTGATGTGCTGTGCTTAGCTCCAGGACACACTGCTTACAGCTATTATATTCTGACCTCTGTTTATCTGAGAAAAGGTACATTTTACTTTTAAAAATGCAAACTCCTTAACCACACAAGAACCTCCTAATGGTGAGCGCTGCACAGTTGAGGGTTCAGTGGTTTCTTCAAGAAAGGAATGTGTGAAAGGATTTGGGAGGTGGTAATCTATTCTTTTGTTCACTTGGGTTTTCACACTTGGTGCTGGAATTGAAGTTAGTAACTTCCCACCTGCTTCTCCAACCTCAGTGTCACATTTTAGTCCCTGAACTATGCAGACACTCATCCAGTTTGTGTTTTGTGAGTTCTCTCACTCTGCCATGCTTCACGGGGTCTCACACTCCTTGATATGGGACACCTGCCAAACACTCCTGTTTCTCACAGCCACAATGCCTATTTTCACCTCTGAATGAAGTAGAGAGCCCATACACAGCTCCTCCACAGTATCCCCAAGGCTGTTTTGAGAATGTACAAGCAGTCTGAGTCACTGTGTATCACCACTCACTGGCTTTAATCGCATTTCCTTAACAGGACTGAATGACTTTGGGGGGGTGAATAAGGGCAAAAGAGCAAGATATCAGAGATTTTTGTACTTGCTAACTTTAAATGAATAATTTAATGAATAAGATAAGATCCCATGTGTAGTGACCTGTGTAGTACTACACTGATTCAGTGAAACACTAAGAGGATGGCAGAGGCTTGTATGTTGGAGCTGTCAGGGGGACAGCAGTGAGACAAGTGTTCAGTGATAGGGCCTATTAAACACTCAGAGCACTGAAAGAAGGAGGATTTGCACAATTGCAAACAATTTCAGTTCACATTCAGCCTTCAGCCATAACCATCTTCCCTTAACTTTAATCAAGATTTAGGTGCAGAATCAGAATCAGCTTTATTGGCCAGGTGTGTTGGACAGACGAGGAGTTTGACTCTGGTACATTGGCTCTCAATGTGTTTGTCCAATGTTCCTCCATAAGGCAACGAGTAAACAAGACTGAGAGAACAAAAAAAGAAAAAGAATGTGCAAACAAGAAAAAGGAATCTGCACCTTCATCACCAAAAGCTGCCATCGGTGAATAATGAAGGATTAAATAATGAGAATATGGTGGAATTAAACATTCAAAATTCCAAATATGCTTTAGCAGAACAGTCTCATACAAATGCTCATTTATCCCATACACCGTTTTGTTAGTACTGACGTACTTATAGGTGGAAAAAGTACCAAAAACTGCACTGAAGGAAAAGTATTGGTATTTTGTAGAAACACTGAAGTAGAAGTAAATATAAAGAGGGCCAACATGTTGTAGTGCCCTTTAACTCACTAGTTCCAGTTCCCATGACAGGCGCTCACCGATCAGATGTGAGTCCAGCACACCTAGGCTTCTCCAATCAAAGACAGTAAGATTACCGAAGTGGCCAAATCAGACTGTAATCTTACTGAAAATGATTAGGACATGGCTGATTTAGACTAATTAGGAAATTGTAGTCTGACGTTTCAGCCTGAGTTGCTTACTTCTTCAGTTTTACCTAAGGAAGACCACCTGGTGAAATGCTGTATTAGTCACTCCCATATAAAATAAAAGTAGTGAGTCTTTTTTAATTTATATAATTTGACTCTATGACTACTGTCATGATGCCTGTGCCATCGAGCACTTCCACACTGAACTGCGTTCTCCAGGGGTAGATATCAACCTAAGCAACATATCAGACTAACTCATGATTAAACTGCTCATTGTTCCCTATAAATTAGCAACGCTCTGCATCAGTTAGAAAGCCGTGATACTGGTGGAGTATTGTGGCAGCCAGTGGAAAAGAAAGGGCAGACTGACCTGTCATTCTCTCCAGCAGCACCCTGAGCTCTGGCAGCTGTTAGCATCCTCAGCTTTCTCCCAGGATTACAACCAGGACACAAAGCTACACTCACAGTAGACATGACAGCAAGGAGAGGAGCACTGCGTCATACTGTACTGTGTCAACAGGCTTAGTCACAGACATATGTAAATGCTTACCAACCCATGCCCACACATTCACTGCTCACCACAAAAACAGATGCATTGACATGCACACACAAACACATAGCTCTGCACTTCTATGTTTGAAGACCCTTCCACGGTGATGTCATGTATTCATTATGGAGCTAGGTCCTTATAGTGGTGTTTGTTTGTTTTTGTTTTGTTATTTTTATAGTGGTAATTAGTACTAAGGGCAATTAATGATTTTGTTCTTTTATAAAGTTTATTTATATAATAATTATTTTATTTCTTCATGGTTTGTAACATCTGATCATCATGGTTAAAGCTTCTATGACCTCTATTATTGTAAATCATCCTTCATTTACATCAAAAGAATGAATCAAAACAAGAATAAGCAGGAAAATGTTTCAGTTTCAACCCGAACTTGAAACTGAACCAGCTTAGCACAAGATCTTTTGGTCTTGAAGCCCTTTACCAGTAACCGGTCCGCGCGGAGTGGCAGCAAGTTTCAGCAGTTCTGGGGGCCGTTTGAAGAAGGAGGTCTTGTTGAAATTCTGAGTTTGTTAACCCCGAAATTAGGAAAACTCGGAGTTTTCGGTTTCAGAAACGGAGGTAACTTAAACCCGTGAAAGCGGGGTAAGTTAAACCTGTTTCAAAAAGAAAGGTAATCTAAACTCAGAGTCAGTTACTATGGCAACTTACTCTGTGAACTTGACCTGGTTGGGAGCAGGTTTTGTTCGGGAAACCCAGAGTTTTCTCCGGTCTCCGCCCCTTTTTAAAGTGAAAGGTGTTTAAATGGGCCTACCTCATTTAATCTTTCAGTACATTCATAGATTGCACATGTTTCCGTCACACAGAGACCAAAATGGCATGTCCATTTATAGAGGATCCTATAGATGAGGAGGCTGTATTAATTCGCAGGGAATTGAATTTACGTCGGGAGAGGATTTTGAGGCCACGAGTAAATTTTTTGTCATATCCCCATGTATTTTTATTTGAGCTGTACCGTTTTTCTAGAGACTCCATAACATATATCAATAATCTTATCCACCCATACATCAGACACATCACCCATCGTGGCCGTGCTCTTACATCCGAGCAGATGCTTTGTGTTGCGTTACGATTTGTTGCAAACGGCAGTTTTCTTTATAACATCGGGGATGCAGAGCACATTAGTAAGGCCACTGTATGTAGAATAGTTCG